AAAATAAATTATATTTAAATACTATACACAGGAAAAGTCTTCTTTTAATGAATTTTTGTTTTCCCTTTGTAGGTTTTGTATTTGTTTCACATTTATTAATAGTTTTGATATTTTTTTCAGAAACTACGAAAAAACGTTGCTGATTATGGTGTCAAAAACTTGATTAGGTAAGTTACCAATAATGTTGTCGTATAAAAAATTTAAATTAATTTTAAATAGTTTCGATGTATATATTGTTTTATGTATACTGTATTTCTAATTGTAAAAGAATATATTAGAAAATGTAGATCATATACCATGGAATTGTGAATATTATTTAAATCTTCTTAATTTTAAGCTTTTTGATTTTTCTTAAATTTCAGAATTAGTTGAAATGATAGATAATTTAATAACTGTGTCTTCTAAGAAATGGCAATAATTTATTTACCAATCGGGACTTATAGATTATACAGGGTGGGCATTAAATAAGTGCACATATTTTCAGCGGTGGTATATTTCAATCTCAAGAACATATGAGGTTTGAATCCCAACTATATGAGATTTTTTTGCAAAAAATTTCTTGAAAATTTTGTTAAAATGTTTTAATTTTTATTTCTTAATTTATAAAATTTTTTTATTTATAAAACATAATATCTTGATACTACGGAAACATAAGTAGTAGATTAATTTAAAAGAAAGGAAAATACAGAAAACGCTAGTGGTTCTCAATATTTAAGAAAACAAAAATAATTTTTTAAATTTCCAGTAAGTAAAATAACTTGGCTATTCTGAACTTTTTTCAAATATGGTGAATAGTGAATGGTGAATTATCAGCATTGAAAATATGTGCAGTTATTTAAGACTCGCCCTCTATAATGCCCTTCGTAACTACAAAACAAATTGTAGTATTAACTGTAGCAGTTGTTTTTATGAGAAAAAAATATGAAAGTTTTGATGACACGTAGTTTTCTTCCAAATTTTATATCTATTTGTTAAAAACCAACAATACAATGGCCTGCGCTATGATTTTGTTGTCACCCAGTATTATATTTAGATTTAAATAGTAATGAAGATGATTTTTTTTCGTCAACGAGAAAAAACAAAGGGAAAAAATAAAAAAAAGATATATTTTTTCGAAGATAAAATAAAGTATGCTTCATTCCAGAATTAAAAATAGCCTTTTAAACGAATTTTTACAAACAAGATTTGTTCGAAAGTGCGAAATAAGGTGACAATATCGATTTCCTTATCTTTTCTTAACGCCTTTTGATATCTGTTTCGCTTATACAGGCCGTCCTTTCTGTCCGTGTGATCGACTGACTGTCAATTTTTCTTTAATCTATTTTATCGTCTCGTCATCCCTGCGGTTTTTGCCTTTTTTCCCTTGCGGCTTTTTCCGTTTGAAGTCGATTCGTCTGAGGATGTAGAAAAAAATGATTTTTTATCAGAGATGTTCGATGTTCTTCTCTGTTCTGTAATCGTTTTCTTGGCTTTGTTAGTTATTGTAGCTACGAAAGAATTTACAGAAAATTAGAGAAAATAGAGTTAGAACTACTTCTTCTTCTCTTGTTTAGATTCTCGTTTTGGCAAATGATTGAAATATTTATTTTGCTCATTTAGTTGGTAATAAATTTAAAACTACTAGATGCTAGCATCAAAACCAACCGAAAATAGTTATTTTTTATACAAGACGATAAAATGGTATTTTACCATCGTGTATAAAACAATATTTGTTTCCATAGCGAGTTACGTTTTAAAAAATATTCAGAAATTATTATCTCAAGGAATTTATTACGAGTAGAAAAAATATTGAGCTGGGTTGGCGTTGGTTTCTATGTAATTTGACAAATAAATAAAGCTGTCTCTTTAGTTGTCAGTTTTGAGTCAATATTTTTTAATTCTCTTTCGTGTCGTTTGCTGATTGAATTGGAGCCAGAAATGGCTCAAAACGCCATATCCAAACTAATTCCATTTAAATCCCGAATAACTTATGAACAGGAATACAAAACTTTTCAAAAATGGAAGCAATTAAAAACGTGCGAGAAGAAATATAGTTTTTAACCTATCCTCGCTGTTAAAGTATCATTTAATCTACCCTTGCGGTTAAAGTACTATTTTATCTACTATTTTTGATAGATATAAGGCAATTTTAACAGTTGCTATGGAAAGAAAATAATCTGACTGTTCCGAGGACATACTGTATATATTTCCTTAACATCAGTACTCGTAGAGTTTTAATATAATAACGTTATCTTTTTCAACCTTTTTCAATACAGACAAAAAGTCTCACTTTATAGAAAAATCACGCACAAAGAAAGCTAAAACCACATTTATATTTTCATTCTTGGTCTCTCTCCGTCTATTTTTCGTTTTAAAATTGATTTTTATGGTAATAACTTTGTGGAAAATGGCAAAGGAAATGTATTATTCCATTATTTCGAACAATAGAATCCTGGTTTCTAAAAAAAATATTTCAATCTTGTATATATTTTAAGCTTGTGTATATAGCTAATAATAATTGAATTCCCGCTTTGTTTTTCTTCTTAAGTGTTTTACGAGGTTATGAATTAGTTACTCTTCTATGTAATAAATTTATTTAAAGCTTTATTTACTAGAATTTTTAAATATGCCAATATACAGTATGTTCCCGGATTGTCTTTATAAAAGGAAAAACTTTTTTTTATTGACTTTTTGAGAAAAATGCATTGTCCATAAAAATGTTTGTTTGTTCTAAAACGGTTAATCCCGTTTATACTTTTACAAATTTCCATACCTTCCATACTAACCAAATATCCCCCTGTCAGTTTTTTTAACTAAAATTATTTCTTAGGCAACTATAAGAAATGTTTTCGTAAAGCCTTTCGTTGTCATAAAACTGGATACTTATATTCCCCGTAAAAATATCAAAGAAAATCGATAAAGAATTCTGCAGAACAAAGTAAATAAAAAAGTATTAAGAAAGATTAAAAATTGTTTAAAAATAAAGTTTTATAAAGAAATAAGAGAACCCACACGTAAACAAAAACAAAAATAAGAATAACTGTGCATCATTATTAGAATTCTGAAATATAACCTTGTAAATCTCTTCACAGAGTGTTTTGCGAAATATTTCCAAACTTTTTAATGTTGATTGCACAAAGGAAAAGTAACTTTTTGAAAGAATTCTGCATTAAGATAAGTAAATAAGTTTTCGAGAATAAATTATTTCAGTATAATTATAAAGTTATGTACGTTGAAATGGCAGAAAGTTTTATTGTTAAAATATGAACTGAAAAAGAGATTCATTTATTTTTCTAAATAATAATATTTATATTTTTTTTTACTATTATATCCATTATCTTATTCACAGTATTCTATTTTGTTTCCTATAAATTTAGAATAGTTTCCTCTGCAAAATAATTTAGAGAGTTACTCAAACTTTTAATCAATTTTTAGTTAAACATTCTTCAGAATTTCTCAGAACTTTAAATCTTATTATGAAATTTTCAAGTAAACATCAACTTCATTTTGAGTTTATTGAATAATAAATAGACATCGAATGGTCTAAATTTAAGTACTTATGAACTTCAAGAATTTAGTAAGAAATTTATACAAAAAATAATAGTTTTCCAGAAATTAAAGTTAAGCAATTTTAGTAATTTGGTCTAGTCTCTTGATCTAGTAATTTAGTTTTTTAGTCTCTTGTTTATTTAGACTTCTAAATTGGTAAAACTATTAAAGACATTTAATATATTTATGATATTTTTTTATACAGGGTTGTTCACCACATACGACACCGAGTATTGTAGCTAAACGATTAGATTTTTACAAATTGTTTACAAGTTTTGGGTTTGTTGAATTATGTGCAAAAAAATTGATGCAATAAAAACGGAAAAAATTTTGATCAATTTCTTTTTAGTTCAATATACGACAGTTTTGAAACTCCTACATCCTTATATATAGGCTTAAAACATCTTTCCATAATAACCCTGAGTACGCCTCCGGACACAGTCTAATGCAATAGTCGTTTTGTTTAGTTAGTCGTTCTGTCTAGTCTTTGTGGGTTTCAAAAAAATATATGCCTCACTGGCATTCATATTATTCTCCACTTGGTTAGTTAGACTTTGTTTTGGAAATTCCAGAATCTAGAAAATTATTAGTAGACTTAGACAAAAAATTGGTCTCTATATACAAAAAATATTCCGTATAAATGCACGAAAGAAGTATTCAGTTCAGCTTTTATTTCGTTCATGGTACAAAGATTTTTTATATTTTTTCTAAAGTTTTTCTATAAAATGTAATAGGTCCATTTTTTAGTCATGTATGAATATCAAATTATTTTTTGGTTGAATTTTTGACCTTATTATTTCTAGAAATTCTTCAAATATTTCTGTTCAAAAAAAAACATCAAAAATGCTTTATTTTCCGAGTTTCTCTTCTTTAGGGTCTTACTTATTTTTCAGTAGAGTAGAAATAATAATATAAATAACATTTAATTCTTGAAATATCTCTTTTAAAGTTCCAGAGAAATGGAGACTGAAGTACAGGGTGTTCAATTTTTGAGTGTTTTACGGGGTTTCTCGTTTATGAATTGCGATACAAAAATGCGGTTTTCTGATTACTATGCATTATGTAAGTGTCTTAAAATTATAATAACTTCAACACTTGTAGGAAATTTTATGTTCACAATATACAATAGGGTATACTACTAAATATGAATTTTTATATTTTGCTCTTAAAATATGCGTCAATTTTGAATGGGATGTAGGTATAAATCAAGATAAAATAAATTCCCTACATCAAAAACAGGTGTTTGTAAAAAATAAATCTTATAAGCTTTACATCGATTTGATTTACTGTGTATCGAGAAGTTATTTATTTTCCGACCTTCAGTCTCAACCTTCGTGTTTTTTATGCACGCATTTTCCTTTTAACCGTTTTTTTTTCAGAAAAATCACCCCATTTTCGAGGGCCATTCTCCGATGGACAATAACAGTTCTTGTTTTTTTGAAGAGAGCAAAAAAGTGAGGGATATTGTAAGAAAAGCCTCGTTTTGTGGAAGGTTGTGCAGAATTTTTTGCCACATTAAATTTCTTAGGGAACATGAATATGTTTTGGCATTTATACGGGGTGAGTTTTAAATAAGTGCAAATATTTTTAGGGGTTGTATATTCCGACCCCAGAAACACGTCTATGAAGATTTTTTTTTCGAAAAGAAAAACGTTGAAAATTTGGATTTTTTTAAATTTATAGTTAAAAACATTATGTAATATCTTTATAATATGGCAAAATAGGTAGTGTACAGACCGGACCACTGTAGTAGTAACATAGGCAGAACCGGACGAATTAGCGTATACCCGTCCGCCGGATAAAAAGCAGACGAAAAAATGCGATAAAACAAAAAGAGGTAGATATGTGATAAGAATGTTTTAGAATTTGTATTTATTCGTGTTTTAATAGCCAAAACGAATACATAGATTCTCGCGACAGTTCTCGTGTACAATTTATTTTTTAAGTAAAATAATGGATGTTTACGAAGTTCGTGAGAAAATTCAAATTGTAAAATGGTATTTCCAAAATAGGTCTTATCGGAATATACAAATAATTTTTCCACAAACTTTTGTAAACAGGCCAATTACATCTTTACCTACTGTATCAGGAGTTATTAATAATTTTGAAACACATGGGTGCATATTCCCACAAAAACACAAAAAGCCTGATGTGTTGATTAATGAAGAACAGGAGTTAAAGCAAGTGTTCATTTGTGCTACCGCGGATCAAAATCCCACGTTTTTAAGTAATCAAATTGCTGAGGTGGTTGGGTTTGGTTTTCAATTCAAATAATTCACGCTCTTTGTCAACGCGTCTGAGAACTTCCTCATTTGTCAATCTAGCCGTCCAAGGTATCTTCAGGATTCTGCGATATAGCCACATCTTAAAAGCCTCCAATTTGTTGATGGTAGCTGCTTTCAATGTCCAACCTTCCATACCATAAAGGAGCACCGACCACACATAATACTTTACGAATCTTAATCTAAGGCTAAGGTCAAAATCAGAACAGACAAGTACTTTTCGAAACCTCAAGAATGCCTGCCGAGCTCGTTCGATGCGACATTTAATTTTCTTGTCTGATGTCCAATCTTCGGAGAGCCAGAAGCCCAAGTACTTAAATTTATCTACTCTTTCTATGGGCCTTGAGTTAAATGTTGGGATGGAGTTATTAAACACATCTGGGTTTCTGGATATAATCATAAATTTGTTTTCTTGATGTTGATGTTTAAACCCATTGCTTTGCTCTGTTCTTCTACCTTGTTGACCAGTTGCTGTAGGTCGTGTATATTGTCTGCAATTAAGACCGTATCATCAGCATAGCGGATATTATTAATCCACACTCCATTAACTTTGACCCCCATTTCCACGTCCTCCAGAGCCTCTTGGAAAATAGCTTCTGAGTATAAATTAAATAGGAGTGGAGATAGCACGCAACCCTGTCGCACCCCTCTTCTAACTTGTATGGGATTGGACATGGTATTGGACAATTTTATTTGTGCTGTTTGGTTCCAGTGTAACTTCTCAGTGCATCGGATGTCTTTATGATCTATATCAAGTCTTTTCAGGAGCTGCATTAATTTGTGGTGCTGTACGCGATCGAATGCCTTTTCGTAGTCTATGAAACACAGGCACAAATCCTTTCTCTGATCGTAGCAGTTCTGGACAAGCACCTGTGTTGTAACTATCGCTTCCCTGGTGCCTTTTAACCCTCGTCTGAACCCCATTTGCGAATCGCTTATGTCCCTTTCACATTTTTTGTAAATTCTCTGGTGTATTATTTTCAGAAATATTTTTAGGGTATGGCTCATCAGGCTGATAAGTCTGTGATCTTCACACTTTCTGGCATTGGTCTTCTTAGGCAGGGGTATAAAAGTAGAACGCAACCACTGTTTGAGGTAGTGACCCTCAATACTCTCGCAATTAGCTTTTTCAAGGACAGATACGTTTGAGACATGATGGAACCATTTTATTCTTAAGAGTTGTCTAAGATGTCTCTGTTGCTACTTGTTTAATGCGTTCATGTGTCGGCGGTACGGCACCCAGGTTTCGATCCCATATAACATGGTGGGGATTATAATTGCTCGCTACACTGCAAGTTTCGTTTTTGTACTCGTCATGATTGTAGAAAACCCTGTCTTTTAATTTCCAGAATGCTCTTGAGGCGCTGCTAATCCTGTGCTGAATTTCAGAGTCGATATTGGCCTTTTCCGAAATCAAACTGCCGAGGTAATTAAATTCCTCTACATATTCCAATAGTTCTTCTCTGATTTTTTTAGCATTGTTATGATCTTCCGAGGGAGAGCACATGATTTTGGTTTAGTCAATGTTTAGCTTAAGGCCCAAAGCCTCGTATGCCCAAGTATACGTGTTCAACATTTCTTGTAATTGTTGTAACGTTTTTGCAACTAGAGCGCAGTTATCAGCGTATTGAAGTGCTGTGATGAATTTTGTACGTGTTTTTGCCCTGAGTCTTTTTATGTTGAACAGACCGCCGTCATATCTGTATCGAATGCCCAGTCCTCTCTCCTGCAGTTCGCTGTCCACTATAATGGAGAGCGCTGCCATGAATATGTTGAATAGGAGAGGAGCTAAGACACATCCCTGCCTAACTCCTGTATTTGTTAGGAAGGAATCGCTCAGTGATCCATGATGTGACACTCTTGACTGGTTGTTGTTATGGAGGCTTTTACACACTGTAAGAAATTTGTTGGGTACTCCGAACTTTTCCAAAATAATCTATCTTAATAATAAAAAAAAAAGTTTCTGACAAAACTTGATAATTGTACTAAATTTATTCTTACCTCTTCACATAAGGGTAACGACACCACTGGTTTTGTCAGTTTATTATCTTTAAAATGTAATTCATGCCAGTGCTACTAGCAATTCAACCAAAATTATTACCTAGATAACGACTTTAGCAATTTGATATGCACAGATGGGGAACTGCGTTAATATATTAAATACAATAATGAAAATGTCACTAATGGATCTCAGGGTAGCTTTAGGGCCATTTAAACTTTACGACTCTTTAAATTTAATACCTTAAAATAGGCTAACATCATATAAAGCTGGACATAAAACTACACCTTGTAGTTTTCAATGGTTTATTTTGAGTATTTTATAACAGTTTTTTTTATGCTTACAAGGGAAATAAGGTTTTGAAATATAAAATCTCTCCTGTGGGTTTTAAAGTTCTATGATCGTAAAAAGATTCAATTAAGTAGGCCACTAACTTGAGCTTAATATCAAGTTTGTTCCAGTTTGGCTGCTTTGGATGAGGGGTTTTAAAAATTCTTTTAAACAGGGTCATTAGAACGTGGTATATTTCTTCTGTATTGCAACTACTTTTATTAAATAATGTCTAAACTTGTCGTCAAGTTCTGAAAACAGCTGTTAAATTTATGTAACATTTTTAACTGAATAACTTATCAAATACGAGGTGGTCCAAACTGTATTCCGGAAATTTCGGTAACATATTCTGCAGATAAAAATAAGTAAAAAAGTTTGTACAAATGTATGTCCTAAAATGCTTAATTTCGGAGATACAGGGTGTAGAAGTTTCATATTTATTTCGATTTTTTCTAAATAATTTCTGAAGTAACCTCATTATTTAGATGGAAATTGGTGTCTGGGAATTTTTTGATATGAAAAATTTGATTTTGATGTCAATATGACTCCTATTTGTAGGGGGCGCCACCTACATGTGTTTTAACTGTTTTGAAGAGTAATAACTTTTCGTCCGTACCTGTATAAAACTACCGAGTGAAAAAATCTACATTTCCGTGATTTTTAACGTAAAAATGTTTCTTGGCAAATTTTTAGTCAATTCATGTCATTATCGACAAAAGATAAACATGTTGAGAGTAGATAGTTATTTGACTGAAATGATTAATGACTTTTTTATTTTTTTAAATTATTCATAAATTTTTCTTCAAAAAAATGATGAAAAAACAGTTTTTGTTGAACTTTTGGCACAAAAACATTTCAAATTTATGGTTTCAGTCTAATAACTATTTACTCAAAATATGTTTAATTGAGAGGTGATTATAATTTCGATTCCAAATATCTCGAGAACCATTACTCGGATTTTTACCAAGAGACCTTTTTTACGTAAAAAACGAAGTGAATGTATAATTTTTGACTCAGTAGTTTTATACAGGTACGGACGAAAAGTTATTATTCTTCAAAACGGTTAAAACGCGTGTAGGTGGCGTCTTCTACAAGTAGGAGTCAAATTGACATCAAAATCAAATTTCTCATGTCAAAAAACTCCCAGACATCAATTTTCATCTAAATATTGACGTTACTACATTTGGAAAAAATCGAAATAAAAATGAACCTTCCACACCCTGTATCTCCGAAACTAAGCATTTTAGGACATACATTTATACGAACTTTTTTACTTATTTTGAGCTGTAGAATATGCTACCAAAGTTTCCAGAATACAGTTCGAACCACCCTATATATCAGATTTCAATAAATGGAGAAACGATATTCCTATAAATGGAGAAATTCTAGAATGTAGAATGCTTAGGAGGGGTATTAATCAATAAAGAAACCCCGTGATAATCCGAAGATTGTTCTTACGTTTAAATCAAGGAAAATCTTTAAATTATTTCTTTCTTTGACTGTCTTAGACCGTTGGATTTTATATATGGGAAAATCGAATTCTCATGATATAGCTTGTACATTATACATATTTATTAAAAATATTTCTCGTAAAATTAACATATAAGACATGACTGGACATTTGCCGATTATGCATACGCCATTAAACGGATATTGGTAAATTAATTACTGAGTGAGTTTAACCTCAGAACACAGAATCACCATAAAAGGGTTCTTTGATATACATAAAAGGGGTTGAAAACAAGATTCTAGACATGGAGCGTTAGTTAAATGTGATGCGGTGGTATTGACCCTTACAAGGCTAGCTGCATTCTCTTTCTTTTTTAATTTTGATAATTTATTACCCTGAACTATACCTATACAAGTGTTGAATCTATTATACGTATTAATTATTATACAGGGTGTCTCAGAAATAAGTTCAAGTATTTTAAGAGGTGGTAGATCTCAAA